TGAAAATATTCCTAGTATCAGTTCAGCCCTAGTCCTAGAACTTAATTCAAAAACTGTACACAAAAACCAAGTACATACCATAAACAAACTAACTATATATTACAAATTTTATTTATAACAATATCTTTTATTTTTCATACCTTTACCATTAATCCTTCCAAAATTTCCACTGGTACTTTAAAGTGTCAACACTATGCATCAAACCAAAGTAATACTACACAATGGAATTTATAATTATTTTCAATTGCAAAATATTTAAAAATGTCACGTTTCAAATTCATTTACACATTCCTATTGCATCACATTACATCACTGTCTGAATATCCATCATTCCTCGAAACGTACCTATAAATCTGAGACGTCTGATAGGAGCGACAATTTTGACTCCATCGAGCCAGACGGAGACAAAATAACGATTAATAACGAACAGAATAATAATAAATGTTATTAGATTCTATATTGCACTAGAACTTTTTTTCGTTCGTTACCTAATAGAATGACAATAGACTATTATTTTTCTAGAAAATACCTATTCTCTTATGTATATATACAATTTAAAAACGATTACCAACCGTTCGCTTAGTTTTCAACTATTATAGCGATGTATCATAATTTCTTTTTCTTTTTTCCCATCCTCGCGGTATTGCTCGATGCACGGATATTCGAGCGTGATCACGCGTCGTCGAATATCGTTTGGATCTGTTTCCTGTCGACTCCGTGATCAGCTTTCGTGCACAATCGAGGATCTCGTTTCTCGGATTTCGTTGCCAACGAAATCGTCAGGAAAGAAAAATAAATCGCGTTTGGTCGTGGAGTACGAGCAGTTCATCAAGAATCGAGGAATCAATTTCTTAGTGATCGATGACCGATCAACCGCGTCCCCCCTCCCCTAATGTCGCTCGAGTCTTTTTTTGCCCTTTACTTTTATAATGCGTTCGATCACGTTCGTTGAAAATATTTATGTTTGATATTGGTTCGTTTCGTGATAGCGTCGTATCGAATGGTGTCAGCGTACTTTCGTTTCCGTTTACACCGAGACGACCTTCCGGTACACAGGGAACACGCGATCGATCGCGGGAAATACAAATAAAGTTAATTAATTCGTCGACTAATACTACAGTATTGCTTCAATATGATATGGTACAGTCTTTTCACTGATTGTCCAATATCACTACGTAACACGTCCTCTTAATATTTCTTTTTGTCTTGCTTTCTCACCCTCTCTCTTTCTCCCTCATCTCGCACATTTCGCTAATCTATATACAGCACTGGAACTCTCTTTAATAATTCGATGAACATGTTTTGATGCGACTTAACGAGCTTTTTGCAACTTTATTCGTTTAACCTCCTTTTCGTGTACACGGTGATGTAAACACACCCCCACTAATATTTTTCATTTTTCAATCTTCTTGAAAATCAACAGAATTTTTCAAATATTTACGGAAAAAGTTTTTGCTTTACATTTTTCGAAATTGCGTGGGATGTAATTACATAACCGTACATCGAAATATTTGTACAGGAGAGAAGGTTGAAAAATTTCTGATTAATATTTCTCCGTGATGTACCGGGTTTATAGCCGGTTTTAAGTTTTTATTTGGAACTTATTGAAGGCAACGAAACGATAAGCATAATGCCATGAAATTCGTTCCAGTATTGAATATATCAGTGTAATCACTTTTACTCTTCTCACACGCATACATTTCTCTCTCTCTCTCTCTTTTTCTCTAGTTTTTTCACTTTTTACACCGTCTCGTGTGTCTTTGTTAGGATTAATATCACTTATTTCTTCGGCGCGACGTTACTCGCGCGTCGATTTTTATAACAATACGTTTTTATATTTTATGTTTCGAATTGTACTTTTCAAAACGCATCGACGATTATTTTGGCTATTTTGTTTCAACTGACTCCTCTTCATTCGCGAGAATCCTCCCTGCACTTTGTCGCCACGAAAAGATTGCGTAATTTTTTTAACTATTGTTTCCTGGTTACGCTGTTTGCGATTTAATGGACTTCGAAAAATCGTTTGTCTGAATAATATTAGAAATCACAGTATTTAATTTTAAATATAATAAGAGGTATTTCATGCAATCGTTTAATTTGCTAATTTGAATAAATTTTAAGGTAAATGTACTTGTTTATCGAACACGTCCCTTTTAGTAACTTACTTGTTGCATTTTCTTAAAATGATAAATAAACTGATATTTTACGATAAAAGCGTAGAATATTGAATATAAATGTATCTTATTTAATGTTTTGAAAATTGTTTTTCTTTTATTAAGATGAAAATTAAAAAATTCTCAAATTTTTAAACTTACAAGTTGGAAAAGTTGTCTAACTTCAAAACTGTATCCATTAAAAATTAGAAAATATTCCAATTAAAAACCAAGGATTAATTGTGTTCATGTAATGAATGTTGCAATGAGTAATTTTGTGCAATCAATCGCGGATAAGAGAAACCATGAGTACAGGTGTCAACTTCACGTGACTCATCTTGTCCCCACATTTAGGAACTCTAAAAGTATAAATATGTATACAATTCTGAAGTGGTCCATTTCATAAAAAGAGCCATAAGCTTACCAGTTTGTTCAAATTAACTAGAAACATTTAATTAACATCAAAATAACAAGAAAACAATTTCTACTTATATAAAAATATAATAGTAGTCAATAAAAGGGACATAATGTTCTGTAAATATCCAACGTGAAAGTTGATTTACTTAAAAACTTAAAAGGACCAACTTTTAATAATATCAGCAAAAAATACTTTGAAATCGCCACATTTTTGTGTCAGATTTAATCTTTCTCTGAAGTATTTCTCTGAAGAAACCAATAAATATTATAAAAATTATTAATAAATATCATAGAAATGAATATCATTCAGTAAATTAACAAATTAATAAACATAAATGCACTGGACCTCATGAAAATTAAAATCTAACAATTACGAAATGTACTGTTGTATAATGTCAAATTTAGTAACGCTTTTACATAGTCTGCGATCATGAAATCGGCATCGGCGACGATTTCCAGTTCGCAAGACTCGGTCCAAGGGTGAGTACGCTCGTAAACTGTTTTATCGCGATCGTAGCTGATATGCTTCACAAATTCTATCTCACTTTACAGATGATTTGATCTCGGGTTTCCGCAAGAGCTTTTTTATGTCGTTTCATATGATATTCTACGCAACATATAACGCATCTTCGACTTCATAACGCAAATACACTTTTTTATTTCAGTTGCAAGCTGTAGATTTGTCTTTACTTCGAATATTTGATTATTTTTTCGTTTTCGTATTAATTTATGGTATGAATTTTTTATGTTATTTTGCTTATACAGCTGCAAAAAATAATACAGTACAATAAATTAATAATTGGGGGTCATTCCAAAAGTTCGTGTCGACATAATATGTTTTTTACAATATATTTTTAGATAAAGAATGAGATGCACAAATAACGTGACTTGGTTGATTAAGAATAATCTGAGGACTAATCTATCATTGCTAAAATGGCAATTGGGAAAGATCTTTTATTGGTAACGATTGGTAAAAAGTGAATTTCAACACATTTATATTTATATGAATACATATAACATTTTTCTATTTGGCCCCTATTATATGTCAACATCCATATAACTGTTTAATAACACAATTTTATCAGATTATAGTTATTTAGAAAATAAATAAAATATGTAATTCGCAACTTTGTGTGATAATTCTGGATGTGCAGAAGAGACGTATTCAGACCAGATTCAGGAAGATTTAAACTTTGAATTTATATCTCAGATTAAATTTGGAAATGGGTTTAAAATAGGTTTATTGAGTATTGCCGATTTAATTGTTTTAAAATATCATATTACAAATTTTGAAATTTTGAAATTCCCCAATTTCTCAAATTTTCAAATCCTCACATTCTTAAATCTCCCAAAATCCTATATTTCCGAATTTTCAAACTTTCAAATCACCAAATCCTCAGACTTTCTAATTTACAATATTTCTAAATACCGAAGTCTCCAAACTAACAAATTGCTAAATTTCAAAAATTACAAATTCTCAAATTTTTAAATTAAAAAAATTTCACATCTCAAATACGTTTGAACTCACACAAAATGGACTGAATTTTTCCGAATATTTAATTGAATGTAAATACCACAACCAAGAAAAGATCAAATTGCATATAATGTATTAAGAAACAAAAAAAGTTTATTTAGAAAGTGAATATCCATCTGTGACATCTCACGTTATATGTACTTGTATCATAGAAAAGAATAACCTAATCACAAATAACGTATGTTCCCACAATTTTTAATTGACGAAGATAAAATTTGTAAATTAACAACGAACAGTTTTAAATGAGAAATGAGAAAGTTTCTATACTGTTATAGTGTCATAAAATTGAATGATTTCGAATATTGCTAAAAACCTTCAAAATACAGTACGAATCTTTGGAATGACTTTACACACGTGACTCGCTTTCAATATAAAATAGTTCTTACACCTTATTATGATCATTCCTTCAACTTATCAAGTCATACTGCTTAGAACCAGGAAAGCATCGCAACATTTCACATAAACATACAAATGATATTACTCACAAACGAGTAGCAAAGGAGGAAGAGACTCGCGAATCGATGAGTCAATTGAAAATTCCCTCGTAGACGCGTCGAGCACATCGCGCATGCGCAGTAACCACAAAATATTCATATTAAGCCTGTGACAGTCTGACTATTGTTTATCGTTGCCACAGTATCGAGCTATCGTGTGCGATCCGTTTGAAACCGAGAATTTTCTTGCGAGCTCCATCAGTACAGTAACTATACAACTGTCCAAGGTAGATATTTCAGTCAGACTGACGGTTTATTCCTCGCAGCGATGGCGCGTCCTCCATTCCTCATCTTCCTCGTTTCTTTTTACGGCCATCCCTGAAACTCGGTCAAGGGTTCTGGTTTAGGCTCGAGACTGGGCAGCTGATACGGTCAGTTTTGCTGTCACAAGCCACCCTCGGGTCAATGTTGAGCCGCGAATTTCATACGCTTCTGCTTTTGTCGTTGGTTACAGAACCAGACCCTGACTACGTTCTTTTTCAGGTCGAGTTTCTCCGCGATCGCGGCTATCTTCTCGCCGGACGGCCGTGGTTGTACGGCGAAATACGCCTCGAGTGATCGTTTCTCGGGCGCGGCTATGCTGGTCCTTTTTCTTTTCTTTTCACCGGCTGGTAAAACCGACGGTGCATCCGGATCTCGTCTCTTGTTCTTCGCCTGAGCCTCCGCTTCCTCCAGCCACGCCTGGAGGATCGGTTTCAACGCGATCATGTTATTATGGGACAACGTCAATGACTCGAATCGACATATCGTTGACTGTGACAACGCCCCGACACCGGGCAACTTCAAATTCGCCAGAGCTTTGCCGACGTCGGCTTGCGTCACACCGAGCTTGATACGTCTCTGTTTGAACCTTTCGGCGAACGCCTCCAGTTCCCGTGGGTCCGTGTCTGCATCTGGATGCAGTCCTGCAGCTGCAGCTGCAGCGGCAG